TCATGCTTTACGGAAATCTAAATCTTAAATGGAAATCTACTGGAGGTTCTGAAGGTTATAACTAAAGTTTAAGCTTTTACAGCAACAATAAAGGCCGATGGGCCCATCCTGTCCTCACCAATCAAACATCCATCCATTCAATCCAGTTTTCCTGCACTTGACCCATAGCCTTGTATGGTGTTTCAAGAATTCAAGGCTCCCATCATTAAGGCAGTGAGGTCCAGATACCTGTCAATCTCTGAAAATATTTTTTTCCTCAAAACCTGATGCTCTTTATCTTAAAACTTTGTCCCTCATTATTGACCCTTCTACTAAGGGGAAATGTTTTGTCCTATCTAATTACATCTATGCCCATCAGAACTCTGGGTACCTCAATCAGATCACTCCTTACTCTCCTACGCTGTAAGGAAAACAACCCCAGACTATCCTCTCTACATAGCTGAATCACTCCACCCAGGAAACATCCTGGTAAGTCTCTGCTGCATGTTCTCTATTGGAATCACATCCTTCCTATAGTGAGGTGATCATACATGCACACGCTACTTCAGTGTGGCCCAACTAAGATGATATATAACTCCATCACAACCTCTCTGCTTGTGTATCCAATGCCTTGACTAATAAAGGCAAGTATTTATCCTATCTGCCTGCTTAACCACCTTATCAACCTGTCCTGCTGCCTTCAAGGATCTAGGGACATGCACACCAAGATCCCTCTGATCTTCTGTTCTACCTAGGGTCCTAATATTCCTGTGTATTCCATAGCCTAAGAGAATAGATGGAAGGAAATCCAGTGGGTGCAGTTTATTTGGATTTCAAGGCAACTTTTGACAAAGTCCCACATAACAGGTTAGTGGAATAAATTAAAGCACACAGGATTTGTGGTAGTCTATTGATATGGATTGAGAACTAGTTGACAGACTGAAAGGAATGGTAACAAATGCTTCTTTTTGCAGGTGGCAGCCAGTGATACATGGTGCAATGCACGGATCAGTACTTCTGCTCTAGCTAGTCATGATATATGTAAATGACTTGGATGAGGGAATCAAATGCAATATTTCCAATTTTATTAATGACATAACTGGATAGGATTGAGAGTTATAAGGAGCATACAGGGATGCTTCAGGGTGATCGAGTCAAGTTGGGTGTCAGGACTAACATACCTCGGATGCAATATAATGTGGACTAATTTGAAGTTGTATACTTTTATATGAAATAAAAAGCAGTGCTATTTAAATGGTGATATCCTGGAAATATGGATGTACAAAGGTGTCCTTGTACACCAATGAAAACAGCCAGGTGCAACAAGCAGTTAGGAAGACAAATGGCATGATGGCCTCCACTGCAAGAGGATCTGAGTTCACATGCAGGGATTTCTTACTGCAGTTATATAGGACCTTGGTGAGACCTGAAGTATTGTGGCGAGTTCTGGACTTGCTACCCATCTTCCTTATAGTGTGATGACAAGGACTGCACACAATACTCCAACCTTTTTTTTCCCAATGCCCAACCAATGAAGGCAGCATAACATATGCCTCCTTTACCATCTTACCTACTTGTGTCGCCACAAATAATGTAAATTATTTAATGTACAATAAAGGTACACTGATAATGTCTTAACATTAACTATTTAATGTACAATTTGTTAAAAAGCAAATGACATATGTCAAGTAAGTGAACTTATCCTAAGATCCCATTTCTGACTCAAAGGAAACCACTTACTGTGCAGCTGATAAAATGCAGTGCATAGCAGCATCACTAAAGAGGACCAGGAGAGGCTTACGATCCTCCAGTTTACCCTAGCAAAAAAAGCAAACACAAGTCATTCAGCCTGCATTTATGTAAATTTATGCCATCACACCAAGCTTCCACCTTTGACAAAGTAAATAGAATCAGTAAAGAGAACTGATAAAATTAACGCTGTAACCTGCGCTAAAAGGTTCAAATAGATGTGTATGTGGAAAATCCTATCAAAGGACAATTTAAGAAACTTCAAAGCAATTTCAACCTTTTAAATCTATTTTTGATCAGGTACATTTACGTATTGAGATCTCACCCATGTTTACCAATCATTTTAACTGATCATTTAAACTGAAAATGAAATACAAGCCAATTGTTAGGCTGTCAGCTGAATTTGCTCAGTTAATGTCCACAGACGTAATTAAAAAGGAATATTAAGCTGGAAACACAACACAAGAGCATGACTGGAATACTGAAAATGCAAGAATGTTCTACATACTTAAAATAATTTAGCCTTCAAATACTGCTCACCCAACATCCGCAATTTAAATCTTGACCACTCAGAAATTTTGATGGCCCCATGTTAATTCAACTTACTAAATGCCCAAAAGACTATAAAAACATCCTGTACAATTTTAAAATGATAACTTAATTTAAAGTTTTTTTAAACTTTACTATAAAAAGCTTAGAATAATGAGAAGTTCATTCTACTTTGGGCTTAAACTGAGATTTCAAATTCCCAACCTAAAACTGCCAACTTCGAAACTTGACCATTTATCTTATGATGATGCTGTCACTTTAAAAGGTTGTTTTATCCTGTTTTGTTTTGAAGAAAGGTTGTAAAGCAGAGGCACCGGGCAGTCTACCAGAACCACTAGAGTAAATAACTGGTCAGGCCTTGGGTTTTCATTTTAAAAATAGCCCGAATGGGTGTGGCCAGCTCTCACAGACCAGGCATTCAGTTTTGTTTTTTTTTTAGCTTTAAGCAGTCAGAAGCTGTTCAGAGTCTCGAGAGTCAGGAGCTTCAGTAAACATCTCTTGGCTGCTACACTCTCTGAAATCTCGAGGTTTCTTCCTCCTGGATTGAAGAACTACATGTAAGAATCTGTGTCTAAATTTGCCTTTTTGCGCAAAGGGGTGTGTTTATGCGATGTTACAATACTGGAACAGTTAATTAGTAATAGGTACTGTATATATTATTTGGTTAAGTTTTCCAACAGTTAAGTTATTCTGTATTCCTCTTCCTTTTGTTTGCATTTTAACTATAGTGTTTAAATCAATTGTGTTTTGCTTAACATCAACTAGTTTGACCAGTGGCATTGCATCTGGAACACGGCACTTCATATCGATCTTTAAAATAAGTAGTAAAGGTCTAGGCTATCTTCTCAAAATATTTTGAGGGAATCTGGTTGGGGCCGTAACAGTTTTTTTACTAGAAGATATTACCTTTCTGCTGATGGCAATAAGGAGACATTCTGCTGCTTCGAGCTGCAATTCAGGTTCCGTTAATAACATACACAGAACCTCAAGTAGCTTGCAGCTATCAGCTGTTATATGGTGCAAAGCAACCCAGTCCACATATCCAGCCAGGGTATTCAGAGTAGCTACTGCAACACGACAGTGTGCCTTGGCCTGAGGAAAATAATTTTACGGTTTAGAAAATCAGCTGCAAAGCATTCAAACATACAAATGCATGATTTATTCACCATGTATGGAATCTATAAAGACATTTAAAAACTGCTGCAATGATTGTTACACAATTATTTTATTCAATTTACATTTTACAAATTGGAGGTATCAGTAGCAAGGTATCTAGTCATGGTTCTTTAAGCAGCAGGGAGAAACACAACATAAATGGAGTTTTAAAAAAAAAGCTCCTTAACCTCCCAGCAACTTGAACTTTGCACAACACCTTAACAACTGAAAAACTTCTTTGCAAAATTCTGCTTTTTGGTAAAATTTGCAGGACCTCCAAGGTGCTCTTGGAAAACAACTCTAATAGTATAAATAACAAACGGTTACCCACCTTATTTTCTTGAGTAGTATCTGCTTTCTGCAAGAAATTAAAAGATATCAGAAACAGTTATTTTACAAATGGTGAAGATAATAAATAGACATGGAGTTGACCATTTGTGAGTTTGTCAGCTCAAGCACTATATCGTGCATTAGGTTCTGATTGCTCCAGAGGGTAACTTATGAAATTCAAGAGTTATTCTAGTATTATCAGCAATAGACAATTATATAGTAATTACCAGCTGTTTGTAGCTCTGTGTATGCTCTTGCAAGATGTCCAAGAGAAAACTGAACAGCTGCATCATATTTTGAGTTAATGCATGCTGTATGTCCTTACGCCGCTGAGCAGGAATAGTCTGGAAAGTCACAACATCTTCTACTAAGCGCAGAAGGATCAACATCACCAGCTCAGTTTGTGTCTCCTAAGATAAATAAAAAGTTACATTGCATACATGGGGAAAATTAGAAACAAAAATACCAAATATTTGAGGTTTTGAAAATTTGTACACCAAATGTTTAACTAACTTATTTTTGTAACTTAATGAATGATAGTAATTACAATCTATCTTCTTTCTTAAGTTGTCAGCTAACGTACGTACACTACCATTAATTATGTCATAAAAGGCTTTGACAGAGTGGACACACTGAGTATTTCCACTTGGGAGGGGGAGGAGGAATATTAGAGGTAAGCATTATCATAAAATCAAACAGGAATTTCAAAAGAAACTTGTTCATACTACTTTCTGATTAAAGGTGCCAGTAGCACAGAGTGTTGATTTGAACTCTATACTCATGTTTGAGGAGAAGCTAAGCATGACTGATAAGGAAATAGAAGATTACACTCATTGCATGAGTAGAATAAGGAGTCTCAAGTGGTACATGACCAGCAACATAGGTCAACTGATGCTTTTTTGTGGAAAACATTATTTGTAATTGTACATAAATAAAGACAGAAATGAGAGAGAGAGAAACAGAAGTAGGAATTGCAAAAAATATTAACAACACAATATTTTTATCAACTGTTACAAAAGAACATATTCCGTTTGGAGAACCTGCTACTGGTAGTTTTGGACTTACCCCCATGGCAGTTAGTTTATCCATTTCATTTAGCATATCTGGCCACTGCTGTGGCCATTCACGCTTGATCATTTCGACCACAATTCGGGAAAGTGCATCCTTAATGTAAGCCTCTTCCACCATAATATTATGAGTACCCTGAGGATGCAGAAGAAATGAGTGATCAACTTTTTTTCAAAATTTTCAAGTTTATAAAGATTTTCAAAAATCAACTTGTGTGTTTGAATGCAATTACAGTGCTATGTTAAGCAGAAAAACAAAGGGCAGGTTTTGCCAAGGGGAAAAAAACATTTTTGCACATCTTAAGATTGATGTGGAGATTGCAAGGTTGCATCTATTAATACTGATTGATAGTTAATACCCAGCTTTGTTTAAACTTCAACATACCAACAAGCTTGGTTTGTTGGTTCCCTCATGCAAGTAATTGTTACAGATTATAAATAGCTGAATTACTAGCACCAATTCTTGGGGTTTGTTGGATATCACAGTTGTCAACACAAAAATGACCCACCTGATTTCTGCTTTCTATTGACTAATTTTCGTGCTAATTTGTTACCCCTATTACCTTGAGCCATAATTTTGTCAACAACCTCATGTGCCATCTTTATCTAATCACTGTAACCAGTGATTACTTGCTTATCTAATCTCCTAATTACAACCTCAAAAAAGTTCTAACAAATTTGCTAATTGTAATTTTGTTATCGCGCCTTAAATAAGTAAAAGTTCCCTGTTTTCTCTGCAGCTCCCATCTTGAATAGCATGGTGATTTCTGGAAAATAAAATGCATCTCATTACCTCTAGCTACCTCAAACTAGGAATCAGGCCATTGAACCCATTCATCCCATTATTTCCAACAGTTTTATTTCCAATTGCTGTTTGGTCATACAGAGATAAATAACTTGCATCATTTGCTGTGGAGCCAATATTTATTGTCCGTCCCTAAATGCCCTTGAGAATGAGTTGTTGCTCAATTGTTGAGTTTATACAAGCCACACAAATATATTTTTGGAGAAGTGAATATGGGATATTGGGGTGGTGGAGACAGATAGAGTTGAGGTCAAAGATCAGCCAGGATTGTTTTGCATGGCACAGCAGGCTCCAAGGATTGAACAACCTACTCTCACTGCTAATTCTCATGTTCTCATTAACAGTTCTATTCAAAAATGGTACAACTGTCATCTATGACCATTCTCAAACACTCCAGAAAGGACAGAGACACACACACACAAATAAGAGACACCTGTGGGATTTGCATTAGAGTCTTTAATTTGAAAAATGCTCAACATACAGACAGTAATCTGGATGAGGCAGATATTGTGTGTGATTTTCTGCATCACCTGCAGCATTTTCTTTTATTCTACCCAGAACTTGGATCATGCCTGAATCTAGTTGTAATATTAGATCATTGGGTTTCCCAGTTCATCAGCTTCCAAGGGTCAGTTTCCATGAAGGAAAGCATTGCAGATTCTGTGATTTGATACAGCAACAGCCAGTGTGTGGCTATGCTGCAGTATGCTAAAGTACCTTGGTGATCCCAAACAAGTTTGGGGAGATTGCAGACCTGTAGACCAATGCTAAGCAACATCTCTGTGTGCTACAGTTTCTAATGTTAGAAGTACTAGGGGTGTTCAATGTTCAGTGTAGTCAAGTCGCCAACTTTGATCGGAGGTATTCCAGAAGTTTGAACACATGGTTTTGGATTACCCGACTTCTGCCAATATTAATGGAATTATCTTAGCTTGGGTTAGCTGTAGTGGATAATCATTTGTTGTTTCACGTTACTAGCTGTTACAAGATGTTCTAAGCAGCAGGTGATCACCAGAGGAGGAAAATGAGAAAACAAGGGGAGACAAGAAATTGTGTTTCTTTACTTCTAAGATCCCAAGCCTCAATTCCCCAATTTCATTCACACCCAAGTCACCAATGTCTTAGTTCATCCTCTCAGATGATTAATGCCCCCTGCCTGCTTGTCTGTCCATAAGCGGTTTCCACTTTGTGATGCAGTTTTCCACAGTGAAGGAGTAACTTCTGCTGTCAGTGATAGAGCTGTGCAAATACTCAAACACACAGAGACAGAGCCAAAGATGTTTATGTACCATCTGATACTTAGCAGTGCCTTCAGCATTCTAAGTTGTTAAACGATATAGTTCATATAAAAGGTATTCATAATTCACAAATTGAGATTGTCCATGTTTTCAAGATACAGTTTATTTGGATCTTTTAGTGAGCACCCTTTACTGGGAAACAATAGTTTGTACAAGTTTCATTGTAAATAGTGTATAACCAGTTGAGTGAAGTCAGAAAAGCTAATAAGACAACTTACGCGGGATAGAAGAGTCATCACACTATTCTTCAGTTGGACTTTATCACGGTGTACCATACCATTCCAGCGAAACCTAATTTTGAAAAACCAATTAGGAGATGTCTTTACTACATTATTCTGAAAATACCACATACCATATAACAGGACTGACTCAAGGGAGGAGGGGGGTTTCAATCCAAATTGGCTTTGAATAAACATTTAGTGCAAGAGAAAGGAAGTGTACTTGTGTTCATGTATCTATCATGCTGGAAACGAAAGGCCAAATTTTGCAGTGGAAATGAAGATGAAACGGTCAGTTTCTTGTTGCTTATTTATTTCACTGACCATTAAACTATTGTAAAAAAACTCTTGAATTAAACCTTAAATGAAGGCTTAATTGGGTTTTTAAATGGCATACTTACTTCATAATTATTATGAACCATCCTCGCTAACCCTGAAATGGTAATTTTGTGCTGTGGTGCATCAAGCTTCCTCATTACAGTGAATCTATTCCACTTTTCTAAAGTTTGTTTATATCAGTACTATATTCCTGTTTAAACCCAATTCTTTATTGGACCATTTCAAATTGAACTTCCTGATTGGCCGTCTGAGAAAATACTTGTGATAAGCATCCACAAGTTGCCTCAGCTGCCTAAACCCTGAGATTTAGAACTACCCTCCTTTTCATCCTCTAAGAGGCACTTCAATGTTATTCTCCGAGTACACTTTTGACCACTTGACCTAATATCTCTTTATTTGGTTCAGTGACATATCTAATTTTATAATGTTCCTGTGAAATGCCTTTGGACATTTTTATTACATCACAAGGTGCTGTAAACATAAGCTGTTTTCACTTTTTGCTTGTCCACATCACTGTTGTCGAATGTCTAGGAATTACTTTGGTTTCTGCATTAAATTTAAACTGCCCCAGGAAACAGGACGTCTACGTCAGAAATCACCAGATTTTCGGTGAGAGTTGCTTTCTTACATGATCTAAGGCAAGGACCATTCATTTGCCATTGACTGCAATTTTTTAAAGCCATGGCCATCACTACTTTCCACTGAAATGTGGATGTGTCACAATGTTCATTCAAATAAACGCACACTATGCAACTACAAGATAAGGATTTATAAAATTTAATATTTACAAGCACACAAGGTCCTTACTTGTACTATATTTTGTAAATAGCATTAATAGTACCACAGGATATTAACTGCACAAGAAAAAAAACAACTCACTTTATAGAATGCTCCAGAATCTGAAGGCCAAAGTGACGGACAATCCCAGTGTTATTTTTCTCAGCCAGACGTAGCCCACACTGCACAGTATGTGGACACTTCTCCTTAAACTCTTCACAAAACTGTAGCATTAAGAGAATTTTACATCAATTCAGTATGCTTGCGTAACCTTGCTCGAGGGAATTTTTCCATCAGTAAAGACAATCACAAAAAGTCAAATACCCACAGTAAGTCTCTCAGCAAGCCAGCTTGGAATCAAAAAATTGTGACCATATATCAAACTGAATGCAGAAAATACAAGCGTGCAAATTCAACATTGAAACTTCGGCTCAACAGGTGTTTAGCACAAGTTCCCACCGACGAAGTGGAACATCAAGTCTGTGTCACTGATGTCACTGTGTACCTGCACCACCCTGGAAAAGGAAGCTTGTGCACTTAATATTGTTGTTATGGATCTAATATCGCTATCTTGTTCTCCTCACTCTTGTTAACACCTTTGCTCAGTGAGTGGGGCAGGGAAACCAGCAAAATCTCTGAACGTTTCTCAGGTCAGTGTCTTTACAAATAATTTCATGTGTACAGGACTGTGACAACAATTAAAAGTTTAAGTATTAAATTGATATGCCATGAAAATGCCCTACATTATTATTAAAATACTTACACCTAAAATACTAAAAATTTACTGATACAAGCATTATAACATTATGCTGTGTAAGCCATTACACAGGTCGACCACATTACCACATCACAGATCTTGCAACTCCATGAGCGGTGAATGCGACCCCTGCAGTTGCAGCAAATGTACCCAATAGACTGCAGTCGGTTCTGCTATAAACGTGATAGTTGCGTTCTTGTGCAACATCCCATTATAGAAAAATCACACTTCTGAAATAACGGGGCCTACAGGAACGGTGGGGTTAGGGGCAGACCACCAAAACAAATCCACACAATATCTCTCAAAAATCACTCAAAAGCCTAACACAAAGGATAGCACAATTTGAATAAGTGTTTCATTCAAATCTAATAATGAAATAAAAGCAAATTTAACACTTGACCTTGAAAAAAATGTCATGACAACTTGCTGGGGGAGGAGGTTGTATTGTACCTCTCACAGAAAGCACTTCATGATAAGCCCATGAAGTGATCACGTGATGCCGATGCGGAGACTCTTTCGGTGCTAACATTATACATACTCATGATAAAGCCCATGAAACGATCATGTGATGTCCACACATACTCCTCCGCGCACCAATGGAATTGCATTATAGCCAACACAAGTTTGCATTTTAGAAATAGCATGCCCCTATTCATCAAGCGCATTACAGCCAATCCACATTGTCAGAACACGTTCTAGCAGAACTGACTGTATAATGTAATTGTATTTTAATGCTGTTTTGTTGCTTACAGAGCCACAAATGAAAAGCTTGTTTGGACCTTTGCTAATCTTAACTTTGATAGAAACACAGCTATTCATGCAAGAAAAACTGTTGGAATTCATTTCTCAATAGACAATGCAAACAGAACTTTTTTAACCTTACCTTTCACGCTCAATGATATTTGCAATGCAAATTACAAGAAATGTTAATTATTCATTGATCTTGTTGATAAAGAATCATAGGCAATTATGGATTGAAGTCACATGAATTAGATGGGCTACCCGGTAAGTAGTTAAGAGACAGACTATTAAGGTTACATCTTGTTAATAAACCTGTCATCAAGGAAAATAACTGTCTTGCTTCATACTTCAGCATCTGTCTTAGATCTATTTAACACTGTAACAGAAGATGGGTGCCTAAAAATGAAGATTGGAGATCAAGAATTATTATTTTTCCGACAGCAGACTAATTGAAGACACTCTTCAGAATGGCTGAAACCACAAAAAAGTCTCAGGATAGAATTTTCCATCTATATTCCTTGAATCTAAACCTTATGACCAATGGGAGAAATTAAACAGACATTTGGACATGGGTTACATCCTTACCAAAGGTGATCCTTGCCTTTGCAATGTCACTTTCTAACAATAGCAGGATGGATGAAAACTAATTTGAAAGCTTGGGACTCATCAGTTTAGCGTGGAGGGAAGTTTGGATGATCTACTAAGCCTTTTAAATAAAATGTTTTAGATACACGAGGAATGGTCAGCCACCTACCAATTTAGAATGATGGATGGTTATTCTATACATTATAACAAAATTTAACAGGCTAAATAAAAGATTCCAGAAAATCTATTATTTAGAAATTCCTGGTTCGATGCTTGCTTTCAAACTGTTAGACAATATCTGGTGTTAATTGGAGCAAAATTCTCAAATATTTTTGATCAAATGCCTCAACTTTGAGGATTAAAAAAAACTCTGTCATTTTCTGGAATCCTTATAGTACAAATGGGACATTCAGCCATGTCACAAAAGACAGAGGATTCAACATTCCCAGAATTTCAAGACCAAACAGATGTGGGAAACATAACAATACAACAGAAGAGGGTAAAGACCTTTTTGGCACATTTGGCTCATGGCAGGAATGGAGTAATAACGGAAAATGAACCCTAGGAATACCTGTGCAATTACAAAGAGATGTTTCAGATGTGATTTGAAATGTCATCATGCAGTAAACTGCCCAAATTGGACCAAGTGCCTGAGGCAACCCACAAGAGGGGAGGCCTGGAAGGTGGGATTGGACATTGATCAGCCCTAGGGATATGTTCATGTTCAAAGCAGCTTCACTCTGGAAAGAGAGGAGTATTAGTCACAGATTCATTAATTGCACCGTGTTGTACAGTGTTTGCACATACACAGTAGGTAGAACAGACTGGTTGAAATTTATTTGGGATTCATTCAGAACGAAGGAACAAGCTTATGGATGAGGGAGAAAAGAACCTTAAACTCTCGTCATTCCCATCCTTGGGTCCTTAAATAGAGGTGTACATTCGTGGTGGATGAATGTTGAAGTTGCCAATGATGTGGGCTTTTTTGTTTTAAAATCCTGCATAATGTTCAGTTTCTTGGATGTTGCCAGAGCTGCATTCATCCAGGGTGAATGCAGGGTATCTTATCATAGTCCTGACTTTAGTCTTCTTTATGGTGGACAGACTTTGGGAGTCATGAGGTGAGTTATTTCTTTCTGAATGTAGGCCCTGATCCTCTTCATCAGCACTAGCAGGGAATGTGTCCACCTTCAAAGCCTAAAAAAATAATGGGCAAAGTATGTTGGGGTAAATTTCCACACTGCAAGACAGATGCTAGTTCTGTAGACATACTATAAAAACTCTGGAATACAAGTAAGTAGGAGTACAAATTTGCAGCACTATACTTTCAGGATCTAAAGTCTCCAGTACACTTTGGCATGTTTTAAGAGAACATGGTAACTCTGAGAAATTGAACTACATTTACTTCAATGCAAGTGGCCTGACAGTTAAGGAGGATGTACTCAGGGCATGTATGGGAACATGGGACTGGGACATCATAGCTATTCCAGAAACATGGCTGAAACAGTGCTTCTGTTTCCTCCCACATTCCAAAGATATGCAGGTTAGGTTGACTGGCCACGATAAACGCGGCGATACAGCGACAGGATAAGGATCTGCAAAGATGCTCTTTGGAGGGTTGGTGCAGACACAATGGGCCAAATGGCTTCTTTCTGCACTGTGGGGATTCTATGATTCTATGGGTTATCAGTTTAATCCCAGGTTTTCACCAAGGGAATATTTTAATTTTGGGAAAAGGAGTCATGTTTAAAACAAAGGCTGTTAATCCAGAGACCAGAAAGGACAAAGCTTTTTTTTTCTGGCTTGAAAACATGATTAATTATATATTCGACCATAAAAACAGATTAATAGCATTTATCAACAGAGTTTCACATGGTTCCAAAAGGATTCCAAACCACCTGCAATAATACATAGTCTCTTACCTCCAAGAAAAAGTAAATGATCACCCCACGCTGAAAACCTCCTTCAATATAGCTTAAAACCAACAAACAACATACTGAACAAAAACCAACCCCAGTCAACAGCCAACCTCATCACTGGCTCCAAACTGGCTAGGTACTCAACATCATCTACCGGTTTGATATCAAAGCAACAGAGCCCATCACGATTTACTTCACACACTGCATAATATTCAATATCAGGAGTTTCCTTTTGTCCCGCAATAGAAGTCAGATGAGAGGCAGATAAACAATACAGATTCAACAAAGCTGTCTGTCCATGCAACTAATCGAGACAATTTCTGCTTTGTTAGCTATTTGAGAATGTCAAAAAGCCATATAACTGAGGCAGTTTCAGAAAGGAAGGATCAAACATTATAGGAAGAAGTTGCACATACAGTCCTGAGGACTTTGACCAGAGAAGATACAACCAAGCAGCTAAAGATAACAGGGTGACTGTTTCATCCATAGCTTGCAGAATAGTCAACCCAACACCATTTGGATTGTTGCCCCACGTATCCCGGACGTTTGAAGGGGCTCAGTTCAAAGAAGTCTGAAGTAATCTACTTTGTTATTAGTCATAGAAGAACATTTCTAACCGGTTGTACCGTAGTGTAATTTACTGTTTATGTTAAACAATACCCTTATTATTCAAAATCTGAAAACTGTGTCAAAGTCAGAGAAATGTACAGCACGGAAACAGATGCTTCAGTCCAACTCATCCGTGCCAACCAAATATGCTAGATAAATCTAGTCCCATTTGCTAGCATTTGGCCCATATCCCTCTAAACCCTTCCTATTCATTTACCCATCCAGATGCCTCCCTGCAGCTCGTTCCATACATGCACCGCTCTGTGAAAAAGTTTCCCCTTAGGTTCCTTTTAAATCTTGTCCCTCTCAACTTAAACCTATGCCCTCTAGTTTTGGTCTCCCCCAACCCAGAGAAAAGACTTGTCTATTTGCCCTATCCACACCCCTCATGATCACCCCTTAGCCATCAACAGTCCAGGGAAAATAGCCCCAGTCTATTCAGCCTCTCCCTATAGCTCAAATGCTCCAGCCCTGGCAACATCCTTGAAAGGATTCAGAAAAGATTTACAAGTTTCACAACGTCATTCCTAAAGCAAGGAGACCAGAATTGCACACAGTATTCCCAAAGTGGCCTAAACCAATGTCTTGTACAGCCTCAACATGCCTTCCCAACTCCTATACTCCATGCACTGATCAATAAAGGCAAGCCTACCAAACACCTTCACTATACTATCCACCTGTGACTCCAATTTCAAGGAGCTATGAACCTGTACTCCAAGGTCTCTTTGTTCAGTAACACACCCCAGGACCTTACTATTAACTGCCCTTTTTTGCCTTTCAAAATTGCAGCACCTCACATTTACCTAAATTAAACTGCATCTGCCACTCCTCAGCCCATTGGCCTATCTGATCAAGATCCCATTGTACTCGGAGGTAACCTTCTTCACTGTTCACTATAGCTCCAATTTTGGTGTCATCTGCAAACTGACAAACCAAACCTCCAATGTTCATATCCAAATCATTTACAGATGAATGGTAAAAAAAGTCAACCCAATGGCAATCCTTATGGCACACCACTGGTCACAGGCCTCCAGTCTGAAAAGCAACCCTCCACAACCACCCTCAGTCTTCTACCTTTGAGCCAGTTCTGTATTCAAATGGCTAGTTCTCGCTGTATTCCACGTGATCTAACCTTGCTAACCAGTCTACCATGAAGAACCTTGTCGAATGCCTTACTGAAGTCCATATAGATCACACATACCGCTCTGACCTCATCAATCCTCTTGGTTAATTCTTCAAAAAACTCAAATTCAAGTAAGTGAGACACAATTTCCCACGCATAAATTTATGTTGACTCTCCTTAAACCAGTCCTTGCCTTTCATGTAAATCCTAACCCTCAGAATTCCCTCCAACAACTTGCCCACCACTGATGTCAGGCTCACCAATCTATAGTTCTCTGGCTTTTCCTTACCACCTTTCTTAAAATAGTGGCACCAACTTCCAGTCTCCCAGCACCTCACCTGTGGCTATTGATGATGAAAATATCTCAGCAAGGAGTCCAGCAATCACTTCCCTAGCTTCCCACAGAGTTCTAGGGTACACAGGTCCCAGGAATTTATCCATCTTTATGCGTTTCAACACGTCCAGCACCACCACCTCTATAACACGAACGTTTTTCAAGATGACACTATCTATTTCCCCACGTTCTACATGTTCCGTTATCCTTCTCCACATTAAACACTGATGCAAAATATTCATTTAGTATCTACCCCACTTCCTGCAGATCCACACATAGGTGGCCTTGCTGATCTTCAAGGGGCCCTATTCTCTCCTTTGTTACCCTTTTGTCCTTTATCTATTTATAAAATCCCTCTGAATTCTCCTTAACCCTATTTGCCAAGGCTGTCTCATGTCTCCCTTTTGCCCTCCGGATTTCCCTCTTAAGCATACTCCTAACTGCCTTTCTACACATAATCAGAAAATTTTCTTGTACACACAAATTCCTCTCCATCCATTAACACTATGGCAGTCCATGTCTGGAAAATTAAAAATCCCCTACCATAACCATCCCATTAGTCTTACAAATAACTGAGATCTTCTTACAAAATTGTTTCTCAATTTCCTGCTGACTATTCAGGTGTCTATAGTACAATTGCAATAAAGTGATCATCCCTTTCTTACTTCTCAGTTCCACCCAAATAACTTCCGTGGACGCGTTCCCAGGAATATCCTCAAGTACAGCCATGATGTTGTCTATCCCTAATCAAAAATGCCAGTCCCCCTCCCCTCTTGCCCCCCTTTTGATCCTTCCTGTAACATCTATGCCCTGGAATATTAAGCTGCCAGTCGTGTCCATCCCTGAGCTACGTCTCTGTAATTGCTATGATATCCCAATCCCATGTTCCCAACCATGCTCGGAGTTCATCTGCCTTATCCTGTTAGGCCTCTTGCATTGAAATAAATGCAGTTTAATTGAGGAGTCCTACCTCACTCTGTGTTTATGACTTATAAAAGGTAACCCAAACATGCGACAGTAAATAAGAATTTGGTTGTGAGTGACAAGTACGAGTGACCAATAAATAGAAGACGCACGAGCTCAGATATACAACAAAGGACAACTATCTTCAAAACAAACCATTCCAATGCTGAAATCACTGATAAGGATTTCAACAGAGCAGCCCAGGCAGAGGTGCAGACAAGTGATACAAAAGAGATGGAAACAGTATTGAAGAAGACGTGAGGACGTGAAGCTCATATTAGACTCAAGAGAACCAGAGATGAATGCCGTTTCATGTCAAAAAGCAAATAGAAAATAGAAAGCAAACTCATTTCAGGTTGACAAGACTCTGACATAATGGATAATATTAGGGATGAGTTCAACCACTGGATCTTACCTATGCAAATCACCATAAAGAAACCAAAGAACAGAATTTGTGTTCATCTGTGGGCACCAAACCAAACAATGCAATGAGAAAGGAACTTTATACAGAGAACCGATCACAGGAACAACAAATGGTGCTCCAAACACTTTGCCAAACTTGATCTCAAACGTAGGCTACTAGTCAATTAAGCTCAGTACTTTCCGCTCATAACCAATATAAAAGCATCAATTTGGAAAAAAAAACTTAGCAACTCCAGTATTTCAGCACGATTCAGTCGGCACTTCAAGCACTTGAAGGCATGCTAAATATTGGTAATGACATTCTCATCTACAGTTGAAGTGAACGTGAACTTCTGACACACCTACAAAGTCTTAGAGAATGCAACCTCACTTTGAGCAAGGACTTGCCTTTGTTCAGCAGAATCAGATTCTTTGATCATGTTTTGCAGTGCAGGAGTATCACAGGACCAAAGGAAGGTTAATCTGCTACAAAGTGTTGTAAACTCTGTGAGCATGCAATATCTGCTCAGACCCCTTGTACGATGTAGTCACTTCATTCCTTACATCACTACATTCAACTTCCCTAAACAATCTGACAGAAACGACCATGTGAGCAGACTACATCGGATCAAATAACACAGTCAAGTTGTACAAATACTGACTTCAAACAAACAAAAAAAAAACGTCCACCAAAAGACATAGGAATAAAAGTATACCATTCAGCACATTGAGTTTACTCCACCAAAGTGATCATGGT